GCTCAGAGCCTGGAGCCTGGTTGGGATTCTGTGTCTCCCTCCCTCTCTGACCCTCCCCTGCTCACGTGCTCTCTCTCAAAAATAAACAAACATTAAAAAATTAAATATAATTTTTACATCCAAAATCACTATGGGAGATCCTTCTACATAATACAATGACCCCCTGACACTTTAAAGTGGGATCATTAAAACTGGCTTCTCGTCTTAATTCTGCCGTCTACTTAACATTGACAATACATTCATTATAGCTGGATCCCAATTTCCTCACTTCGAAAATGAAGGGCTTAGATTTTGTCAGATGTCTCTAACGCGGACAGTTCTTTCCTGAATATACATTTGTCCTTAATTGCATGGATCATCACCTTATTTTTGCTTCCTTTCTCAAATGAGGTGTTGAGGACTTCTTCAATGAATAAAAGATCTTTTCCTTCTTTTTCCTGTTTCTTTTAATTCTTCTAATTGTTATGGATATATTTAGAGTACATGAACGGAAATCTTAATGAGAAGACAATAACTTTAATAAGCTGGAATGTATAGTTCCTGGTCTACAAAAAAAAAAAAAAAAAAAAAAAAAAAAAAAAGATAGGATACTAGGTCCTTAAGTGTTAGAAAGAACCAACCGGGTTCGACTTCCCACTAACAAAGAACCAAAACAGAGCCTTCCAGCTTCTGCTCCAACCGACTTTTCTAGAGAAAGGTGCTTAGTGTCTTCTGGACTTAGCCTGTCCTGTTAACGGACAGCACAGTACCTGGCCCATAGGAGGTACGCAAATGCTGTTCCCAAATCTGTTTCCCCGGAAACCACCCATCAGTTCTGGTCCTGCCTTCTTTAGCATAGCCCCATAGATATAGCCCTTGATACGAGGAGCCCTGCAACCATCCAAACTACCATAGCTAATCCCCTCTCCTGCCCCCCTCCACGACTCTGCTCCTCCAAGCCCTAAAGCTCACACTCCTTTATTCCTTGTTTTCCACACCTTGACTATCCACGTTGCTGTATACCGGATGGATTTTAGCTTGTCAACGCCCTCTTTAAAATGTGACACTAAGAACATAAATATTGCAGTCACCTCATTAGGTCTGCACCGAGCCCAGCTCAAGACGACCAGAGAGTTACGGCTTCGACTAAACAGGTTTACTGCAGGATTCTCTTAGCACCAAGAAGCATCCTGCTTGCTCTGTGCCCTCCCAGATCTTTATCTCTAGTCATCGAACACTCGGAGCCCGTCTTCTGCCTTCTGAAGTGGGGTCATGAATTCCAACTAATTCTTAGTGGAGGACTCTCAGCTAGTACTGGGCAGAATGGGGTGTTGTCCATTTCTTGTGTCACGTGAGCAGAAACAGCGTCAAGAGTCTATCTCTGAGAATCTATGAAGTCCGTGACCAACAGCATTGAGAACAAACCCGGAACAAAGTATTTACTACACTTGGGATTCCCGGTAGGCCACCTCAGCTAGTTTAAGAGGTTTTCGCCCCTTCAGAACCAGCCCTGGGTCTTTAATCCATCCTAATGAATGTGGTTTTGTCAGATCTTCACCACCAAGGGAAACGGCGTCGAGGCAAAAGCCTAGGTAATTCAGACAAAATACCTCTTCAGCCTATGGAGGCTTTGATCGGTCTTGAAAGCCAAAACCAGTGCCATCGTGTTACATTAAACTGAAACTTAACTGGGTCTGTCCTCGACTATCATCGCCCCTGTGTGTGGAAAAAGAAAAGAAGAACCAGGAGAACTGTGCTGTTGGATTGTTTGCCATCAATTTCAGGGAACGCTGCCTGATGAGAAAACCGTGCCTCAGTCAGTGTGGCAGGTGCTACAGAGGTGAGCTCTTCCCTTCCCACTTACTCTAGGCAGAAAACAGCCACATAAGGCGGCCACGATAAGGCAGAACAACCTTCCTTCCGCATGTAATGCTCATGAATCAAAGACAAGGCCATTCCCTGGCTCCGGGATTCACTCTGCCTCTGATCAGGCAGAACGGTGCCCACACTAACAATGTTTCCTATCTACTTGCCTTTTCAAAAGTTCAGGAGACATGCCTCACCTGCTTCTGTCAGGGCCAAAATAGACCCTAGCATCTTCCTGTGAAGACAGGAGGAGAAAGATCTAAATGTCTGGGGCTTTGGGGTTTGTGTTAACCATCCGATTCAAAATTTTTTTTAATGTCTTTCCAAAATATAGTATTTCTGGGTGCCTGGGTGGCGCAGTCTTTTAAGCATCCGACTCTTGGTTTCAGCTCAGGTCATGAACTCCCTGTTCTGGAGATGGAGCCTCACATTGGGCTCTGCACTGACAGCACAGAGCCTTGCTTGGGATTCTCTCCCCACTCTCTGCCCCTCCCTGGCTCATGCTCTCGCTTTCAAAATAAACTTAAAAAAAAAAAAAAAAGTATTTCTACTCACTTTAAAGATTCTCCCCAAATTCCTTTTGGTAGCTCTTCTTTCTAGTATTCAAAGAATCTGATATTCTCCGGAGTGCCTGGGTGGGTCAGTTAACGTCCGTCTTCGGCTCAGGTCATGATCTTGTGGTTCATGGGTTCAAGCCCAGCATCAGGCTCTGTGCTGACAGCTCAGAGCCTGGAGCCTGCTTTGGATTCTGTGTCTCCCTCTCCCCCTCTTGTGCTCAGTCTGTCTCTCTCTCTCAAAAATAAACATTAAAAGAAGAAGAAAAAGAATCTGAGATTCTCCCCCTTGTGGAATAGTATCTACTATGCCTTCCAAGTTACTGGGAACATTCTTATTCACAAATCACTTCCCCTCTCCCCACCCCCCCATAACCAAGCCTTTTGTCTTATTGTAGAGCACTTGCCAAAAAACCCCCCGCCTTAAAAAGGTATTGTCATCATCTGAACAGGGAGAGAGGAGAAATCTGAGTGTAAATTTGTTTTTAATAGCGCACATCCACACATTCTAACTCAAGGAGAGAGGTGTTCACATAAAGTGATAGAGGCAAAATGCCAACCGGTACGTTGTTACAAGAAAACAATGTACTGAACAAAGACATGAACAAGGAACCAGAAGAGAGATTTTTTTGGTCCTGCTTTGGCTGTTAGCTAGTCCTGATTTCATGGGTAGATCCTTCCATCCTGCCAAGCCTCAATTTTGTTAACTATGGAAGGGAAAACGAATCCTTGTCATGACTCACAAGATCTCGACTGATAAATAGCACTTTGGGAAATCCAAACACCTATACAACCCTTACGTTTTTAAAGCAATAGCTTTGCATCCTAAATGATGCAGATTGGATAGAGGTCTCACCCTGACACTTATCTTTGCTTAAATTGAGGTTTCCTGGAACAAACCTGTTAGAAAAGAAAGAAAAGAATTCCTATGGCTACATTCACAGAATCCTAGAACTTAGACCTACAAGGATATTTAGGATTGTCCTCTTATTAGCGAAACAAGGAAACACAAAGATTAAATGTAACCCAAGCTCACACCGCCATGGCGTATAGAATTACTATTCATCCTTAGGACCCAAGGGTCAGGATTCCATGTAGCCACACGCCCTTGTGCAGCCTTTCTGGGCTCCCTACCTAACTACACAACCAGGGCCAAAGGAAGATCGCAAGCCGAGCTCGCCTCTAGCTGGCCGCTGCATTTCTAAGTGTACTGGGGACGTAGCATCGACACACCATTTGGTAGAATTTCAAACTCCAAATACCGAGTAATCTCTGTCCCTTCGGTGTTTCAGAGTCAAAAAAAATTCCATCTGCGGTGACCTTTTCCGTGTAGGTGAAACTCACGACTATACCAAACGAGTAAAAACAGGAAAATCGGGGTGGCTGTGAGGGGGTCGGCCACGGAAAGGTTTTTAGCCCCGTTCACTCCGGTCGAGCACAGGAAACCACCCAGAGCCGAGGGGAGGGGGCGTGCTCGGAGGAGGACGCCGTAACAAAACGATTCCCGGAAACTCGTGTTCGTTCCCAGTTTTGCCCGGCGAGCCCTTTATTATCTAAAGAGACTGCAAGCCCGGGGAGAGAATAGGAGACCTCGTAGGGGAAAAGGAGACGGGAGAGGGGCGACGCGCTGGGCCGGACTCCCGCCCCACCTCAATAGTCCACAAACAGGTGCCCCCCCCCCAGGAGATGCGTCTCCCCCTTGAGCTTTAATCTCGCTAAAACTCCGCATCCCTAAAACGCAAGGGGAATGGGCATTTCCACACGCAAGCCAAGGAACGCTCATTTTCAAAGTATCTGGAGCCCATGGGACGTGTTAAGAGTTGCGGGACAGGTGCGGCAAGGTCAGGAGGCAGACGTCGCCCGGGGGTGTTTTCTCTGCCCAAGTTTCTCGCCGCGGGTGGGCGCGCCGCTCAGGACGGGGGCGAGGCGGCGTCAAGAGCAGGGGTACCCGGGGGCCACAAACCAGGGGTGCCAGGGTTGCGAACCGCAAGCTCGGGAGGGAACCGCGACGGGGGAGGATGGGAAGCGCCGCCCGGAGGAGGGGGCGTCGCTTTCGCTTTTGAGTTAGAGACTGGGGACCCGAGTGCGAGGTCAGTGGCAAGCAGCGCGCGAGTCGGTCGGGCACCGGCGTCTTAAGCATCCGGTTGTGGCTCAACCTGGCTCCCCGCAGAGCGGAAGGCGCCCACCCGGTCCCTTACCTGCGGCCAATCGGTCTACCCAAGGAAGGGCAAAGGGTCCCGGTGGAGAGGTCGCGGAGCCTGCACAACGGAGCTGGGGGCAGGTGGCGGAGAGGTGAGGGCCGAGAGGGTCTGCGATCGCGGCGGAGTTCAGAGAACCGCCAGCCCGGGGTCCAGCTTGCGCCACTTAAGACGCGGGGCGCGGGAATGAGCTAACGCAGGTGCGCGCTCGCCCGGCAGGGCCTCGGCGGGCCGCAGGGGGAGGAGGGCGTGAGCACGGGGCCCCCGCACGAGTTCGAGGGTTGACAGGTGTGTTTTGTTTGTCTCCGAGGCCCGCCCCCGGCCCCGAGTCCCAGTGTTCCGGCTCCCGGAGGGCCCCGCGCCCCGCCCCGCCGCGTCCTCCCCGCCTCCCCCGCCACGCGGCTCAGAGCACGTGCGGCCCCGAGCCGAGCTCCCCCTCGTCCCCGATGTCCACCTCGTCCTCGGGCTCGGTCAGCACGAAGGGGCCGGCGGGCAGGCCCAGCCGAGCCTCGGCGGATGCGGCCTCTGGGCCGCGAGGGCTGCCCTCGGGGCTCTCGAGCCCATCGGGCGCTTTGGGCTCATCCTGACTTTTCCTCAGCTGCTTTTTATGCTTCATCCGCCGGTTCTGGAACCACGTTTTCACCTGATTGCAGGGAGAAAAAAATATATATATACAACCGCGTCATCCCTTCAGACCCATAGTTACTAAGATCTCAGAGACTGCTGGGGGCTAGGAAAATGGACCGCGACCCATTCACGAATTACCCAGGAGCTGTGACCATCTCTTCCTTGGGTTAAGTCACACCTGAACTGCTCGCAAGTTACTGTCTTAGGCTGAATGAGAACCAGACATCCTAAGGCTCCTGGAAGTCATTATCCAAAACAATAGTAAAGGTCAAACGGGTGTGGTTAGTTAATACTGGTTAATACTAATATCTAATTAATGTTATTAATTAGAATGGCCAGTAGTAAGTGCTACGTGGGCGAATCTCCTTCGTGTTTACCTTACGTTCTCCTGATTATGACCTCTAAACACCCGGTCCAGCAAGACTCCTGGACGGGAGGGGGAGAATCAATCTTGCTGGTTCTCATCAGAAAGAAAAACCATTGGCGCCCGGCGGGGCTCCCGGGTACAGAGAATAGAAGAGAGAGAGAGGCAGTGGAGGAAGGAGTTTGAAGGTTGCAGGTGAACAGCATCTGGGAGATGGAAAAAAACAGGTCTTCCACTCGGGACAGGGCAGTGAAGAGGAGGGGAGTGGGGAGGCTGGATTCGCAGGCGGGAGAGAGATTAAAATAGTAAGGAAAGAATTTTCCTCCGTGCGCGCTTCTCTCGCTTCTCTCGGGGCAAGAGCCGGCCTAGTCTCTGATTTTTACGTCCGACCGGGGTTACCGCCCGGCTCGGAGAGGAGGGGGGGCGGCACAGGAATGAGCGGTCCTCGGACACACAGACAGGGGACATCAGGATCACCAAAGGTGTTTCTCTTCCAGGTCTAGCGCTCGAGAGAGAGATGAGATCAGGTCTCGGGAAGCCTGACCCGAGGTTGGAAGTGTCGGTACCTTTACTAAGGATCTTTGGAGAAGCCTAGAATAACGGGGAGAGGGGCCACTCCCACTCCAGAACTCCGCGGCGGCGGGAGCTACCGGGAGAGGAAAGCGGGGCGGGGATCGGATCTGCCCCTCCCCGGCCCACCTGCGTCTCGGACAGGCTGAGGGCCGTGGCCAGCTCCACCCGCTCTGGCGTGGACAGGTAGCGCTGGATCTCGAATCTCTTCTCCAGGCCGGAAAGCTGCGAGTCCGAGAAAACCGTGCGAGCTTTGCGGCGGCGGCAGTGCTTCCCCGGCAGCTCGCTGTGCTGGGGGTGCGGGAACAGCGCCGGCACCGGCACCCCTGCAAGAGAGAAAAGCAACCGAGTGGGTCGAGCCCTGACACCCGGGAGCCGCCGCCGCCGCGCTCCCCTGGTCCCCAGCGCCTCCCGCCGCCTCGTGCGTGCCTCCGCTGGTCCCCTCGCCGCCCCAGACCTACTCCAGCCCTTCTCCCAGGAACCTCAGGGCAGGGGAAAGAACACATCACAAGAATAGAGCTGGAAGGTCTTTATCGGGAAGGCCATCTAGACACGCAAACAATCAACGGTGAAGTAAAACGGGAAAGAAATTGTTTTTAATCGGGGGCCTTAAAAAATGTCTCTTGAAAGACTTCCATAACGCCTGCCAGCTCCCAGTCCTCTGTGGCGCCTCCCGAAGTTTTCTTGCGATCGCCCGCTGGTCCAGTAGCTGTTCTGACCACCCGCCGCCCTTCCCCACCCCTGACGACATTCAGCATTGCTCTTGGGCTCCTAGAGGCTCGACTGTGGCCTCGCCTCCCCACCTCACTAAAAAAAACACCTTTCTCTTTCCTGAGCTGCCCCCATTCTCCCGCCTGCGGCCAAAGGAAACAGATGAAAACTCATCAGGAGAAGCTCAAGGGCCAGAAGGGAGGGGCAGTGCCCGCCTGGCACGTTCCGGAAGGAGGAGGCCCGCTGGGGACCCAGACCTGTAATCCGGCCCTCATTCTTTCTCTCGGACCCTAGGCAGAAGGACTGAAGTGCTTTCCCCACCCCCGCCAGGTCTGGGGAGACTTATCTTGTCTTTCCTGACCTTCACAGGCATTACAGGGTCTGAGATGCCCCCAAGTAAACCGCCACAGACATCCGTTTCTGCCAATCCCAGGGAAAAACCAAAAACAAAACAAGCAGTTCTGTCATCACGGGCTTTGGCCACTGCTGTTTGGGGGGAACCCAGAAGAGACGGTCATTGGCCAGGCAGTGAAGACAATACCAAAATGCAGGCTTCCACATAGCTTTTGTAATTGCCCTTCCGACCTCGTGCCTCAGAATCGGGGTTTTACCGCATCACAAAAACTTCTAGCTCTCTCCGTAGATCCCAGAGCCCATATTTCGCAAACTGCCTCGTGTGTTTCCACGGCTCTCCCCCAGACCAGGGTTGTTTTTTTCGGCCGTGCTCTGCACCTGCATTCAGCAAACTATTATGTTTTAACTGGAATGAAAATGCCAGAGAAGAAAGCGTGAATGTGGCCTTTCAGAGAGCAGCAAAAAAAAAAAAAAAAAAAAATCTGGGTATTTCCTCACCTCTCCCTGTCCCAACCACACTTTGCTGCCCCTCCCCCCAGTCCTTGTCATTCACGGAAAATCAAGATACTTTGGCGTAGGGCTCCAGCTCAGCCAGCAACCAGGGCAGAGGAGGGCAGCCAAGCCCAAGATTGTGAGTTAGACTTCTGGAGTAAGGAGAGTTCAAGAGGAGCAGCGTCCCTCCTCCCGTGCCCCGGTTCATTATTCCCCTATTCTGGCCACGTCAAACCTTCAGTCCTCCGAATATCCCAAACCTTCTTTCATTTCTAAGCCCTTTCAGCATCCGTGAATGCTCAGTGCCTGAGAGGAGAGAGCTGGCCTGCCCGGAGCCTTTGGAACTAATGAGCTGGAAAGTTGAGCTGTGTTCCATGGGGTGGTCAGGAGTCTCCTTTAGAATGAGGAGAGGCAGAGAATCAGGATTGAGAGCTGGACCAAAGTGGCCAGGAAGACCACAAGGAAGGAGACTGAGCATGGTCTACCAAGACTATCATCAAAATCCTCCAGTCGCCTCTTGGATAGGAACGTTTCCTCCATTGTAAAGAATGCAGAGTGACCATGAGTGCTCCCCATGGGTTGGCATGCCTCAAGGGAGCTCAGCCATATCCCCAACCTTCCACTGTCACTTAGGGGAGGAAGCCGCCAAGCCAGGCCGAACCAGCTCTGGCCTTTCCTCAGCTCCATCACAGACTTAGGGCCGGTAGTGGGAGACCTGCTCTTCCGCTCCCCAAACCTTGAGGCCCCTGTTACTTACCCGAGGTGGTGAGGAAATAAGGGTGGTGGTGGTCTCCCTTATGCAGAGGGTGATGAGGGTGAGGAGCCAGGAGGGTGGGTGTGGGCATGAGGGGGTAGCCATAGTCTAGGAGAGGCACCCGGGAGGCCAGAGAGCTGGCGAAGTGATCAGGGGCCATCTCCCTTAGCGGCTTGGGCTTGTGCAGCAGGATGTCCTCAATGAAGAAGGACGTGGGCCTCTGAGAAGACGCCGGGTGCAGAGGGGAGGTGAAGTTGAGATTCATCTTGAGCCAAGCGCCTGCCACAGGGCGAGGGCCGGAGACGAAGTGTAGGAAGCAGGCAGCGACTCAGCAAGCCTAGTCGAGAGCCGACAACCACCCTCCGAGGCTCAGAAACCCTCGAGGCTCTCTCCCCGGCCTGGGCTACCCCGGGCGCTGGAGAGGCGAGAAGACAAGCTCCTGGGTAGGTTGGGTCTATGTGTAGAATCGGCAGCTTCGAGAAGGGGAGGTGGGAGAGCCAATGGCAAAGCTGCCAGCCGCGGAGGGGAGGGTGCGGTGGGCTCGGGGCGGGGCGGGGAGCTGTCCGCGGTGCTGAATACAACCGGCCAGGCCCGGAGGGAGCGGAGCGGACAGGGTTCTCGCTTCTCTACCAGGTTGGTTTCTCGATCTCAATTTGAGCTGCTTTGCTTTCAGCCATTTAAAAAGAAAGCTATAAATAAAAAGTCTCTGTCTTTCGACAGACTCCTCTTTAGAGAGCAAAAGGCATCTAAACGACCCCAAAGCAATAGGGATAAGGCACTTATTTTGGCCGTTGGGCCTAGGTTTTAAAACTTTAGAGAGATGATAGCAAAGGAGAAAGGGAGACGTGAGGAGAAAAAGTCCATATCCGCTACACCGAACTTAAACTGATGGCTGAGGCGTGGAAGGACTGTCGAGGTAAATAAATAAACTGTTGATGATCATAACAATTTTTTCCCTCAGTTATAGAGAGTGGTGTGATTTTTATCTACATTAGTCAAGTAATTTGGTCTGTGTAAGTATGTCCAGACCTACTTCTTAATGCCAGTCTCCATCTCTTCTCAGATTTCCATTACTTCCTCCTCATTCCACTCACACAGCTTCCTAGTTCTGCTATTCTACCCCCTTTCCATGCTAGCCCCCCCCCCCAAATAATTGTCCTCGGTTTTTGTGTCCTGTTCTATTTCCCAGCCTTTCTTTTCACTTCCCTTACTCCCAATCCTTCTGGTTTGGGTTTTTTAAATTTTTTTTTGTTTTGTTTTGTTCTTCTGTTTGTCTCTTTCTAATCTGTCCCATTTATTTCCCTGGAGTCAATTTGCTAAAATTAAGGTGATCATCTACAGCACAGCAGGGGTAATTTCAGCTCGCATCTCCGAAAATTGCTCTAATTATTGATGTTAAACTCGGGGAAATTAAAAGAAGCCACTTCTCTTCCATCTCCCCATTTTTAAGCTCTAATTTGTTGAAATATAGTCGTCCTCACAATTCCAATCACCACCGCTAATAGTAAAAGTGTTTTAATAGAGAGTGAGTCCTCACAACCCATGCTATTAGATAATTAGAGGAGGTGTTAGAAAGCCAAGTGCTAATCCTTGGGCGCGAGGGTAGGATTTCCATCTGATCCAGCAGGTAGAACAAATTAATTACCAGAATCAATTAGGCCCCAAACTACGGTGCTCCACGAAGTGGGAGCGTCGTATTCCATACGGATGAACTGGTAAATGGTAAATAGATGAGGAGTGAGAAGAAGGGGGGAAGAGGGGGAGAAATAACTTTAAGATAAGATCTCGGCAAGTAGGCCATCCAAACAAAATCAGAATGCTTTGTCCTGGAGTCTGAACTGTGATTCATTTTCTTTCTTTCTTTTCTTTCTTTCTTTCTTCTTTCTTTCTTTTTCTTTCTTCTTTCTTTCTTTCTTTCTTTCAACTGATTATAATGATAACTGAAAACTCGAGAGCAGGCAAAGGAAAAGAGTGGACTTTCAGGAGTCCTTCCTCATCTGTAGCCCTGGTCTGTTTATCTTCCGCAGGGCTAGAGGGAAACCGAAACCGAGGAGACTTGGGGAGTGGCGCTGGGGGTGACAGTCCACACTTTACCGATGCTCACTTCTCTCAGTGAGACCCTACACAGCAAGTGAAAGCCAAGCCATCCTGTCTCCTAAGACCCTAAAGGCTGAGTTGAGTGGCTACTGAAGGCGTGGCGGGTGTACAACCAGACCCTGGCCTCAGTAAAGACCCTGAACGCACCCTGCACTCCATCCCTACATATTTGCACCCAGCCTTGCGGGGGTGGGGGGGGAGGTGGTATTTCAGCCTCATTTCTGGGCTCAGAGACTAACTTGAGCCTGGGAAACAGAAATAAGGACACTAGTGAATGTCCCTTTGGGAGCAGGAGCAGTTAAAAATGTGTTTAGGTGACAGTTACCTTTGAGTCAAGGCACTGCAACCCTTTGTCAGAATTTAGCCTTACTCAAGAACCAGGGTGTTCTGGGGGCGAGGGGGGGGG